CGACTGCAATTGGGGATTCTGAAGGCAGGACCTTCTGTTAATTTGGCCTCCAGCACGCTCCGCCCATGCCATCTGAGGGCATCGCTAGGTCGACTTTCGGGGCACGTTTTCTTCACTTCCTGCCGACCCTGGGGCTTGCTGCGGCATGAAAATGCGAAATGGGAAAGAGGCGACTGATGACACAAGTGCACTCCATAACGCCTAGCTTGCCACGGTTGTTGTCACATTAGCCTTTGACTTGGCGTAAGGGATGGAGCAGCTTGGCAAGCTACTTCTTTGTGCTGCACTTGTCATCCATATGGCTGCATTTTTTTCTTGGAAGAGTCAGAGTCCGAGTCTGCGTGAATAGCTACATGGCTGCACCACTGGACTGCAACCGGTCTTTGTCTGCATTGCCCCCCCTCCGTTGATAATGGATGATAGCCTAAAAGCGGATTTTTCACCTCCTGGAGGTAATGCTGCGAGGGTTTTGTTGCGCCCAAACAAGTTCATCCGAGATAGCGTCCAATTGAACAACGTTGTCACGTTCGCCAAGTTAATAATCTGGAACATTTTGGGCAGGAACCAACCTTGAAGTTTCCGCATCGTCCCCTATCGCCTGTTCCAGACCAGCCGCGCCTGCAGCACTAGCGCCTCCCGGTTATGCACCTTCCCAGCGTTGGTTCTGGAACACAGGTTCCCAAGCGGAGTTTGGGTTCAGCCGCACACTTGTTGCTCCGACATCCGTCTCGATCTGGCGTTTTGGTTCGTTATCCCGACGGGGAAAGCAATTCGAGGTGCTTGGTATGTGTTTGTGATTGGCTCGCATTCGCACTAAGAGGGCTACACAGCACCGCCCGTTCAGCCCAAACTCCAGCCCAAGCGCCAAATATTGGCCAGGTCGCTCTTGCAGGAAGCGCCGCCACCCTGCACCGCCCCGCTCGTCACCTTGCCAAGACAAACTCGACATCCCAAGGCCAATTCGAGCGAGTTTAAAGAGGGCGACCCCGCCCTTTCTGCCTGCTTGATTGCGACGGAAGGTTCAAACCGCAATCTTGCAAGAAACCTCTTCATTCTTTAACTTCTGTCGCAGCTTCGTTTCCCACACACCAGCAAGCAAACATGGCCTACCAGCTCCACCCCGTACAGCAGCCGCTGGCGCTCTTCGACCCCCTGATCGCGCGCCAGACCGAGACGCTGATCCTTCGGGAGAAGGTGATGTCACTTTCAGGCGACAGCTTCGAGATCAAGCTGCAGAGCGGCCACCCCATCCTGCGCATTCAGGGCAAGGTCATGTCCATCTCTGGCCGCAAAAGCGTCTACGACCTGAACAACAACCACGTGCGTCGACCCAGTCACACCTCGTCCAATTCTTGAACTTTTCGCGCTGACCCCAGCTCCAGCTGTTCGACATCCAGAAAGAGCACTTCCATATCCACACCACATTTGCCGCCGTGTCCCCGAGCGGGGAGAAGCTGCTCGAGGTCAAGAGCAGCTTTGCTTGTACGTATTTCCCCCTCTCCGCACGAATAACAAAGGCACGGCTTGAGCTAACCGCCCAACCCACAGTGCTCGGCTCCAAGGCCAAGGCCACCTTTAACAACAAATACAACAACGGCGCCACCGAGACCCTGATGATGAAGGGCAACTGGTAAGTGCCACCAAAATCATCATTCCTCGTCTGAGTCTGTTCCTGACCAGAGATCCACAAAATGTAGGTTCGACAGCGCAGCCGAGATCGTCGACCAAAAGAATAACGCCGTCGTTGGCCGCATCGACCGCAAGCTCCTCAGTGGGCGCGACATCCTCTTCGGCCAGCAGACTTACGCGCTCACGGTGGCGCCCGGCGTTGACATGGCCCTTATGGTGGCCATGTGCATCTGCATGGACGAGAAGAACAACGAGGGCAAGGGCGGCGGCATCCTGGGCAGCATCATATAATTTCTTTTCACGTCGCGTTCTCGAGCGGAATTTTGTTGGATGGAAAAGGAACCAGGCTGGGGCCTCGGAGTACATGACGACGTTTTTGGATTGCTCGGCCGATGATGTTACTGTTATGAAATTGCCCCTCTATACCCACCGCTATTTATTTGTTCGTATTATTCTTTTTTCAGGCGCCTACCTATTCATCATATTTTTTTGGCCCTCTGGAAGCCCACTGTGTTTCACGCTGGAGTCCACAGCTGTTCGTTGAACGTCATACTGGACGACGATGCTGGTTGTTCGGTCGTGGCCGATGACATCATGCGGCGATCGAATCCCACGTCGATTAGGCTTACGTGAGAGTGGAAGTTTGTTCCTGCATCGCCCCCTGCATATGAAGACGCGGTGTTTTCGTCGTCGAGATGCGCAGACGTACAGGTACGGCAATGAGACGCGCTTGACATACCATCATGGTGGCTCTCGGACCTCGACAACGATCATCGCCCGCCAGCTTCATCGTGACGTGCGATGGAGGTGAGGTAGGAACAGAGTCACCATTTCCGAGAGGAGAAATTCGCACTTGAAACTCATTAAAATGCTTTTCTTGACGCTCGGTATTCTCACCCCCGAGTCTGAACGAGAACTTCCCGAAGAACCACCATGGCAACAACCCCAGACCGCGACAAGAAGCGTGACGGCGTCTACTTCGACACCGTCTATCGCTGCAGCAACAAGATCTACCAGTTCTTCGGCATCTCCCCAGCCTCCACGCCCAGCAGCCTTAGCAGACTTTTGTCTGGCGTCGGCGGCGAGGGTAGCAACCGGAGCAGTGGTGGCAGCGGGCGACATACGGGCACCACTGCCAGCGCCACACATCTCATCAGTCCCACTGAAGTGCATGATGGTGATCATGATGGTGGGCACGAAAACGGGCACGTCGTTCCTCCCGCCGCTGCTGCCGGTGCCCACACGAGGGATAATGGCCATGTCGTTGTCCCTATCAGCACAGCAGCAGAAAACGGCCACCCAGTTGCTTCCCACGCGGTGGCATCTCGCATACGGAAGGGAAAGGCCCCACCTAGCACCTGCAGCCTGATGGTGGACAACGGCCACGCCATCGGTCCCACGTACGGTATTCGTGACGACGGGCATGCTATTGCTCCCAATGGGCATGCGAGTACCCCCGTGACGGGCGTGGCATGGAATAATATGAAGCAGCAGCCAAACGGGCATGCATTTTCGCCGGTTAATACCCCTACGGTGCCGACCGCGGCGGCGTCGCATGTTTCTGACGCCGGCGGCCATGGGAGGCAGTCGTGGATGCGGCCCGAGGGGTTGGTCTCGCCGCGGTATTTCCCGTCCCCGCGCCGGACGTGGACGTGGAGTCGTGGCGGACGTACTGGCGGTGGTAGTGGCGGTGGTGGGCTGGGGTATCGGTTCGAAGAGGAGAATGACCGGCGGCGGCAGCAGCAGCAACAGCAGAGGAAAGTGCGGAAAGGAGGGCGTAAGGGTGTGATCAAGGCATTGGTGCAGGATTTTGGCCCGATATGGTATGTTTCACCCCCCCCACATACAATAGTGGTCCGAAGAAAAGAAAGAACTGACAGACAAGCAGGTTCACATGGCCCATCAACGCTGGAATCATTGGTCTCCTGCTGCGCTTACTCCCATCGCGGTTTCAGTTTCGTGGCCTCCAGGCCCTGTCGACGATCGCCTTCCTGGTCAGTTTGTCGTCGTTTGTCCTCATCTCATCCATCTTTCTCCTCCGGTTGGCATGGTTCCGTCGCCGTGACGTCCGCGAGATTGTTGGGTCTGGCGTCGTCAACGCGGAAGACGCGGAGACAGCTGATGCGGCCGACCTGGGATATCTGGCCTGCTGGCCGACGGCGTGGCTGACACTGGTCGCTTTTGCGGCACTCGTCGCGGCTGAAGAGAATACGGATCATGCGGTCTACAATTTCCGTGCCGTGGGTCTCGCCGCGTACGTGGCCTGGTGGGTGGGCGCCGCGTGGGTGGTTTTCGCACTGATCTTTGCACTTGCCGGGCTGTTTGCCAGGCCCAGGCCGGGATTGAAGACTGGGGAGGGACGGTTCGCCCCCTCACTTGCTCTTCTAATCTGCGGGTTTGGACTGGCGACTCTAGCTCTTGTGGGCGGCATCCTTGTCTTGCGGCTGGGCGTTCCTAGCGGACGAAGAGAGATTCCGGTCGTCTCGCTTGGGCTCGCGGGACCAGTTGTGGTTTTCTCGCTCTTCGCGGCAGGAGCTGCACTGCTCGTCTCGCTGGCCGTCTACGCCGTCTTGCTCCATGAGCTCCTGCTCGTGACGGGCTGGCCGCCGCCCGAACAGACCGGCGCCGTGTTCCTATGTGTCGGCCCCCTGGCGCAGTGTGCTGCCGCGCTGCAGTTTTTGGGCGATGCTGTCAACAGCATGTTTGGCGGTATTAGTGGGGAGTCTGTCATCGATGGCGGGGAAGGAGGAGGAGACGGGGTCACCGTCGTGCCTGCTTTTGGACTGCCCCTGCGCATCGTGTGCACCCTCCTCGCCATGTTGCTCGCCGGAGCGGCTGCGATTTGGCTGTTCCTGGCGTTCGTGGCGGTTGCGTACAGGGCTGTGCGGCGAGAGCTGGCGTGGCAGCAGAGCTGGAATGGGATCGTCTTGTCGGTTGCGGCGCTGGCGCTCGCGACCCTGCGGTTTGGAGTTGAGTTGGACTCGGGGTTCTTTCAGGTTGTTACGTGTGTTTTGTTGGTGTTTTGCGTTGTTGTGTTCCTTGTAAACTTGGGGTTTACGTTGTGGTATGGATTCAGGGGATCGATGGCGGATCATAAATGGTACTAGTAGGTGGGCAGGAGGGCAGGCAGGATGTTTTCTGAGAACTAGTTCTAGAAGACGAAGCAAGCTAGCTGTCGTTAATGCTGAAAACTGAGGTACTGCATGAAGTGTAACCAAGTTAACATCGTCGTTAAAGCAACAAAGTCCAGACCTAGCAAAAGAAAGCAACCAAGCAAGCAGCAAGGAAGGAGGCGACAGGGGTGTGTAATATGCGAACTGCATATCGGTAGGTACCTAGCTAGGTGCTCATTATCGCAAAAAAGATAAGCCCGACCCACCCAGGTCTCGAACCTGGAACCTCCTGATGTACCAATTCGTAGTCAGACGCTCTACCATTGAGCCAGCGGGCCTTGTGCTGTATGAAGGGACATCCTTTGTTTGGTGGACACTTTTGCTGTGGTTTTGGACGAGGTTTTCGCTCCCCATATTATTTTGTGCCCCGTAGTAGAACTTCAAGGGGTTCAGAGCTGTTTGGGGCTAAGTTTGCACGGAATGGAGTGGAAGTGGAGACTTTTAACTTTCTTTTCTTTTCTATCGTGTCTCACCAGCATTGCCGTTACGGTTCAACTGCCACCATTTCCGACGAGTACATTCGCTATAGTAGTAGTAGACTAAATGCTAAGGACAAGTATATCACCAGCACGGCAAGCAGTAAAGCGCATCCGACCTGACGAGTGATGAACTCGAAGGCGACGGAAGATTTTGCTTCCACGCCGTGTTGCCCATCCACCTGCCTCAACCACCGCTTTCGCACTATAACGGCCTTGTCGATTTTCTCAAGACCGGTGGCGGTCTGAGGAGGAGCGATACCGGCACCACCACCAGGCAAGAACCACGATGGATCATTGCAAGGAGGTAAAATGTCGTAACGCGCAGTTATCGTTTCGACCGGGTAAGCATATACGTAGCGGAAGATCAAGTCCTTGTCCCCATTCCAGACCTTGACAGAGTGGACGTTGTCTCTCGATAAGCTATCGAGCTGAAAGTTGGAAAGAGCTTGCCGGGAGTGCGACGAGAGGGTGATCTCGGCAACCCAGCTAGAATGCCACTCGGGCTCGTTGGGAAACTCGCGTAGCGTATAGTGGCGACCCAGTGGGTAGAGGTACTTTGCATCCTTCGGAAAGGCAACGTAAAACTCCAGCTCTAGAATAATATTTTTTGCCGAGCTCCAGCGCACTCCCTCCCGCATAACTTGTATGATATCAGAGAAGTGACATTGCATACTGGCGAACCATCTATGTGTATGATTGCAACCGTCCACGTGCTCATCGCGGTGGGGGAGAAACTGGACGTCGAGCAAGTAGCCCCTGGGTGGGAGCCTACTTGTGGTGGTTGCCAACATTAGGGGAAAAGATCCAAGTTCGATCAATGTTTGATGTGAAGGAGTGTGAAGGAGCGGGAGAGAGAAGTGGGCAGCTGAGACATTTTTAAGCACGAGTGAGTGGCACAGCGCCCGGTCTATCTATGGGAGGCATTTACCTTCGTTTCTTCTTTTTCTTTTAACCCCACGAAATTGGGCTCAGGTTGACCATGGAAGCCAATAGTTTATTAGAAAACCTTGCCACGACTGGCTAACTCTACGGCAAAGAGGATAATGGGCCCAACGGGGTTGGGTCTTTGTGCAAAAGCTAAATCTCGAGGCAAAGCGTTGAGGTGTAGAGTGGGTGCAGCCAAATTATGTGCGAGAGGTATGCGGGGCCTTCAAATGTAGAAAAACAAAACAAGTGTTGGAAACTTGTATACGATGCTATGAGCAAACATTCAACCGAAAGACACGTCTCTTTCAATCCCCTCCCAGTTACCTCTCAATTAGTGCCCGCGATTATAATTTAGATTCCTACCTAGTATCTTTTTTCGGTACCATACTAAGTTACAATTTATCGACGCAAATGAAGGTTGGAACTTTAATCATCTGACAACCCTGAACATGTGCCTTCCCGTACCCAATTGATACACTGGCATCGATTTCATTAATAGCTGCGAACAAAGGAAAACAACCTGGAAGATCGATCCGTCAGCTCATCCGCCATTCTCACCCAAACAAGACTGAATGAAATCAGCGAAGAAAGGACGAAAAGAATCAACCCAATTTTTTTCATTTTTTTCATCTGCTGTCAAGAAATTTGTACATGGTGTAACCGACGCCCACGACCGAGGAGCTTGGCGGGGAGGTAGACCTTCGCGCCGGGCCGTAGAACTAAATTTTTCAAAGCGTGTAGCTCGGGTACTCGGACATCTTTTGATCCTCAAACCTCTGTCGCCGTTGAGTTGTTCTCAGCTTTCGGGGACTCGAGGTGGCGGTAAGTTGAACCAAGAGACGTTTTCTCTATTTTTTCCTGCAGACTTCCCTTCCGAAGAATGTCGGAGCAAGCAGGGTTATTGTGCCTTCATAGCTGAAACGGGGGTTCCTTGGAACACTAGTTCCTTACGTGAGCATTGGTGTGATGACAGGAACTGGTGCCATGAGGATTCAAGCTCCTCTTTGTTCTTACACGTGGTAGAATAAATATGTTGTGCGACATCACGAAAACATGACTCAGCACTTCAATTATCGTTCTTCAAATGCAGGGAACCGCTGCACACCATCCGGAAACACAAAAAAGTCTGGATTCCGGAATGACTTATGTACTACTCGAAATGCTTTAAGAACATATGTTGGTGCACTTAGCAACTGAACGACAAGATGACCGAGATCACTGAGCTCGCCGAGTAAAATATGAAAACTCTGCGATGAGTGTGCCCCTAAGCGCCAATTCTTCCGGTAGGTAATAACCCTGGGAACAAGTGGCACATCGTATTGAAAAGTCGAAAGCGCTATCGTAGAGCATTGACAACTGACTGGATGATCACTCTGCTTGAAGGAAGATATCTACCTCTCAGCAGAAGGAGAAGTACAACTCTTGGGTAGGGGCAACGACAACCCATTTTTTAACAAAAGTCCATATGTCCACTTACCATCGGCCCGAGATCACCAAAGACGGAGCCAAAGACGGAGAGGTATTCACTGCCATCAACCATCATGAAGCTCAGCATCATCGCCATCCTTGCTTCCATCGCTCTCACACATGGCTTCAAGTTCGAGACCAAGCCCGCCGACGGTGACTATGTTATCGAGAAGGACGCCTCCGGCAAGGAGGTCGCCACTTTTGTCGGGGCGTTGAATACCACCGAGGCAGCGAATGTTGGCCCTATGGACACGAAGAGCACGATTCGCGGTCGCGGCAACTTGGTCGCCCGTGATCAGGTTGGCGTAGGTTCCAGAAACCTGTTACCCTCATTTCCATTGCCACTACCTTTGCATGCATGCTGATAAGCGCTGCCTGGTCTCGCCCTGAAACGCAGTGCACGGAACGTATCATGAACTCGGGAGATACCAACGCCGCCGTGAATTCCCTCAAGAACTACTGCGGCAACGGCAGAAGCTACTACAATGCCAAGATGGCCTTTGTGAGCGGCGGCATCCTGGCTTACACCTGCGATTACCGCGGCGGTCAGCTGTGCTACGCGTCTGAGGCCGCCTTTGCTTATCAGCTCATTACTAACTCATGCGGAGGATACAAGAGCGGCTGGTTGGTTTCTTTTGCTCCGCTCCCAACCCCGGTGTTTTGGCCAAAGGAATTTGTAGCAGCGTCACCTTTCCCCCCCCTTTCTTCCAGGCAATTCTTTTCCGGATGAAACTTGAACTACGGCTACGATTATACGAATGCTGGTTTCTGCAGCAACTTGTAGTGGTTCAGTTGCAGCCTGAGGAGAGAGACTCCATCGTCCCCCGTCCAACTAGAGCTGTGCCGTCTTCCATGTGCCCAGTTTTCAGACATCAAGAATGAAATAGGCACTTGGCCATCTATTTCGTATAGTCCGATAGATCTCCCTTCTGTTTCATTTGTCCTTTAGATAGACTGCTTTTGCTTCAACAGCCTTGGATAGCCCTACTCGACGCAGTTTGTCCCGGTTTTCTAGATCTCATAACTGGGTGATTTCAATATCTTATGTCCAATCTCGTGCCGTGAGAAATTAGTGTTGCTAGAGGCATTCACGACAAATCATTATCACTTTATCCCGTCATCCTTCTTTTGATATTATTGCTTTTTCATGATGCGGATGGTATTACATAACAACAAGAAAACAATAGCCCGCCATGTTTGTTGCTCAGCCACCGTGCCGTCAATTCATGAGCGTCCCTTCCACCCAACTATCTCTCATCCAACAACCTCCTCGTCAAGTCACCTCGAAACCCTTACTAAGTCCTCCACAATACTACCAGCGGGCCTCATTTTGTCCTCCGCGATACCTAAACCTTTTCATGCTCGACCACATGGGTAGTGGAATGCTTCTCGGACTCGGTTTCGTGGTTCAAGTTTTCTTGGTTGGCGACCGTCTTGGCGATGGCGGCCTCGGCGCGGGCGGCGTACTCGTCTTGCTCGAACACTGTGAAAGACGGGTGTGGTTAGCAGCCGAAAATAAAATAAAACCCGACGGGGCAAACGTACAAAAGGCGAGCTCCTCGAGAGAGCGGTTAGATGTCTCGGGCCAGAGGAACCAGATGAGGATGGCCTCGACAAAGATCCAGCAGCAGTAGACCAGGAGGTACTTCCAGCCGATGGCTTGGGTGCCTGGTGGAAGAAGAGGTGTTAGTTACCGGACAGAGGTTATGAGAAAGGTGATGAAGGACGTACCAATGGGGTTGACGTTGGTGCCAAAGAACTGAGCGGCCTTGCCCCAGAACTGGAAGATGGAGATGCCGCGGGCGCGTTGGGCGTAGGGGAAGATCTCGATTAGGTAGGCTGCAGTAGCATGTTAGCAATTGCACGGAAAGGAAACAAAAGGCAAGTTCTTTGGAGGGGGAAAACATACTGTAAGTCAGCGCGTTGAAGCACAAGTTGTAAGCCGGGCTGTAGGCATAAATCCAGAACAGCGACATCTTGGCAGCCACGTCGGACTTGTTGGCAATGAAGATGGCAGTGCAGACGGTCCAGGCGATGTATACGGCCAGGATGGACAGAATGCCGGTCAGGTACATGGTGCGGCGGCGGAAGCGCATGACCACGAGGGCGGCGCTGACACCGCAGATGAGCGACCAGCACTGGTTGCCGAGGTTGTACTTGGCCTGGAAGCTGGGGTCGGTGTACCCGATCAGCTTGAGCACGTCACCCAAGAAGTACGAGATGACGACGTTGCCAGACAGCTGGGTGAAGAGACCCAGAAGAGAACCGATCAGCACGCGGCGCCGCATGCCGGCGGTGCGCACCAGGTCCATCCACGACCGCTTCGAGTTCTCGAGCTCGATCTCGAGCGTGGCGCGGATCTCGGCCAGCTCGAGCTTGACGAACTCGGAGTTGGGGTTGCCCTC